TGAGGTTGTTCCCAGTCTTCAGAGTCTTTGGTCTCCATGGCAACGGGCCTAATGGTTTCTCAGCAGGGCGGCTGGGGTCAGTAACCTCCCTGACTTCATCAGTCTTCAGGGCTTTAAAACAGACAGAGAAGAATTGTCAGAACTGTTGGGCTAAGGGGTCCATTCAGAGCATGGAATCCTTTCCCATTCAGGTTTGATGAGATTTGGGATAGCCCACACACCCCACCAATCGCATCTTTGCCAACAAGAGCTGCAGCGCAAACCGCTCATTTGGAGGCAGTCGTGTGGCGTTGTGTAGTTGAAGCTTATTTGTCCTATTCATAGGCAGCACTTTAAGGAAAATGCTTAAAGTGGTTTGTACAACTAGCTCGTGAGTAAATATTTCCTGAATAACTCTAGAGAAGAGCACCAAATTGCGAGAGAAGCCTAGGAGAGCAGGGGGAAGGGAAGGGCAGGCTGTAAGGCACGGGGAAAGGGTGTTGGCACCGGCGTATCTCACAGGGGTCCATTTACATCCAAGCAAACTTGACCTCCACGTCAAAGCTCTTCCACCATCTAGAGGCCAAGTCCAGCTGAGTCAGTGGTCTCTTTATATACGAAGCTTTGTCCCATGGCCTGGAGTCACATAGGGTTATCTCCCTCCAGGACAACTCTGAAATGGACCTCCTTCCAGGACGGGGCTCTGAGGCAGTGAGGAACCGGAGGGGTCTTTTGAGAATGATTGCCACACTGGCGGGACAGTGTTCTGGGTGGTGAAGCCATGGAGTCTTTGTGGTTGCAAAAGTCATGCATAGATGTTGTGTATATGGAAGCTGTTTTCTGGGTCATAGGTCAGAGCTGTCATTGCTCTCTCTATGGGTCAGAGACTCGGGCACACTTAAGCAGTTTTATACCTTCTCTAAGACAGACAGTGGGAACTGTGCACAGGGCCCCCACACCTCTCCAGTACAGTTGCACACCTTGTTCTCAGGGTAGCCGCTCAGCTGAGGGTTCCCTGGAGGTGGAGAGCGGCTTTGTGCAAGGCAGGGTTTGAGGCCTGGCACCCACATGCCAGAGTCACCCCCATGGCGCATGCCGAGGGACAGCAGCTTTTTCCTACCTGTCTGCAGATCTGCTTGCATTACACAAGCAGGCTTGCATATATATATAGCAAATTGCATGAAGGACTTACGAGGCAGGGACTCACTGAGAAAGGGCCTACCTCAGAGCAATATGGCCAGGCATTGGAGTGCTACCTGAGTTTGTGGGATCGGGAGGCTCCCACTTCCACCCTGGTTACCATTTCTTTTACTTTGTGTTAACTTTGTTTTCAAGACAGGGTCTCACACTGTGTAAGTAGCTGCGGCTGTCCTGGAACTTGTTATGCAGACCAGGCTGGCCTTGAACTCACAGAGATCTGCCTGCCTCTGCTTTCCAAGTGCTGGGATTAGAGGTGTGCATCACTATACTTGGCTTAAAACAACAACAACAACAACAAATATTGTTTTGTGTTGACTTTTTGAGATAGGGTTCTCTACATAGCTCTGGCTGTCCTAGAACGCATCGTTTCCTGATCCATGAAAATACTGTGTGATCTGTGAGGTCCCTGTCCAGCAAAGTGTAATGCTTGGGTGTCCAAAGAACACCTTCAGTGGCCAAAAGACCATATTGAGGTCGGATTGTTAATGTTCCATCCCTTCTAAGAGCTCCCAGAAAGGATGACATTTATAAATGTGCTGAGGAGCCCCAGCCCCGGCAGCACCATGGGAGGATTCTTGTAACCACGAGTTCTGCCTGAGTCAACAGGGGTGGTGACTGCAGTTAAGCTAAAGTGTCCCTGAGCCAAAGACAAGAACTAAAGAGGTGTCTGTCCCAGCCAGACGAGCAGGGGACCCTGCCCTGGCTCCGCAGCAGAGAATAACTGGCCACAGGGACAGCGAAAGAGGAATCGGTGAATCGGGAACAGCTGGATCTCTCTGTCTTCTGCGGGGAGAAAAGGAGGCTGGAATGAAAACCACGACTAAATACAAGGCAGGACCTTGGCAGTTCAGAGCTCTCACCAGGTGGAGTAGCTGCATGGACAAAGACCCTACTCACTGAAGGAAGGAGAGCGTTTGAGATCTGAGGACTCAGGGATCCCCACCTACCCTGACATCTCTCTTCTTCTGCGGGCTCTGCTTCTCACTGTGGTCATTTAAAAAGCGCTGCGAGGAGAAGTCACGCCATGCAGCAGGGCTCACACGGGAGGTTTATTGGAAGAGGAGAAAGGAGGCCCAGAGAGGAGGGCAGAGGAGACCGGTTTCTGGGGACAAGGGTGGTAGATGAGAAAGAGGGGGGGGGGGGGGAGAGACAGGAGGAGGGAACGTAGTGAATGTGCACAGGAGGTGCTTGCTCTCAGTGGCTGCGGCTGAGGACGTATCCTGGCAGCCAGTACAGACGTCTAAACACCAACACTCACCTCACACCAACTCTTCCACAGAGATTCTGTGCTTAGCTCAGTGCTAGATCTAAGACAGGAAGGAGGGGTCCCCAGGGAGGGAAGAAGCGTGGTATACGGGCCCGGCCCCACTGTGTGAAGGCCGATGTGAAGTTTGTAGACCCTTGAAGAGAATGATCCAACAGGTGTCAGGATACTAAGTCTAGGGACACAAGGGCCATGCTGAGGTGTGGCAGGGTGTGCCCAGCGTCATACAGGTGTGGCAAGCGAATAGATACCTGGGCCTGGGAGAGGAAGGAATGTGAGGAATCCGGTGTGGTGACTCACGGTGAAAGAGCAGCCAGAGCTCCGCTGGTGGTGGCCAGGCCTACCGGCTGACGAGAGACCCCTCAGAGATGTGGGTGGGGCCGGTTTTGGGTTAGAGCATGCTGGTTTCAGGGTGTCAAGTTGAGGAGAGTCCACAGCAGGAACAGCTGATAGGAGCTGACTGACTCTGCGTGGCTGCCATCTTTCTGCTCTGACCCAACCTGAGGCCTTAGCATGGGCCTTTTGGTTTTCAAGGTCATTATGTTCACTGTTGCAATAGTTAACAAAATATAGGAGATTAAGAACTTTACAAAAGCTGAGCGTGGTGTTGCGCACCTTAATCCCGGCACCAGAGAGGCAGGTGGATCTTTGTGAGTTCAAGGCAAGAGTGAGTTATATGGCAAGATCCAGGATAGCTACCTAGTGAGACCCAGTCTAAAAAAAAAAAGAAAAGAACCTGCTGGGCATTGGTGGTTCACGCCTTTAATCCCAGCACTGGGGAGGCAGAGGTAGGTGGATCTCTCCGAGTTTGAGGACAGCCTGGTTATAAAGCAAGTTTCAGGACAAATAGGGACGTTACACAGAGAAACCCTGTCTTGAAAAACAAAAATAAAAGGAAAAAAAATAAAAGATCTTGTAGAAAATTTGGGGAGGAAACTGCTCACCCATTGGTGGCTGGAAAGGAAAAGACTGGAAGGGGCAGCGACCCCAACATTCCCTTTAAATGCATGTCCTCTAAGGCTTCTTCCCCCCAGGCCACATTTCACAATGATTCTGCCACCTCCAGGTAATGCTGCAGACTGGGGACCTGGGACACTCAACCACCATGTTACAGTCACATCGCTGTCATGGCTGATCTTACCTGTCGATGTGACAGGATCTAGAATCACAGAAGAGACAAAACTCTGGGCACGTCTGTGAGGGATTATCTAAATTAGATCGGTAAGGTTTTTAGGCCCACCCTAAATATGGGCAGTCCCGTCCCATGGATGTTGTAGACCGAGCACCAGCATCCACTGCTCTCTGCTTCCTGTCGGCGGATGCGCTGTGACCAACCAGCTCCTTCACCCTCACATCTGCTGCCGTGACTTCCCTTCCCCCTTAAACTGCTGCTTTCCAGGTCTTTTGTCACAGACAGGGAAGTGGCTTGTCATTTTAAGCTTGCATTTTTACAAATTGAAAACAGATTTACATAGAGTAAACTGGACTGTTTTTAGACCATATTTTATGAGTTGACCAATGTGTACAGTTCATGGGATGCCCCAACAAAACACAGTTCCTTTGTCCCTTACACCCCATCACAGCCCCTGGTGACCATGGCCAGTGAGGGTTCCCTCCTGGTCATCTGCTCCTGATGTCCATAGGGGTAGAGCTGGGTGTCAGGGGACTTCTTCATCCTGTTGATCTATATTTTCAAGTCTGTCCACCTTTGTCTGTCCAGGGCTGGTCATCAGTAGTCACTGCAGGCTGCTATGTGGAAGCCAAGGTATCTGAGCAAGGACCCACAACCTGGATTCCAATCTCCACCTCTGCTGCCTTAACCTTGGGCAAGTCAGGCGTCAGTTTCTTATCTAGGACACGGTGTTTGTGGGTATAGGGTGGGGTGGGTGGGTGTGGGTGGAGCTGGGTATGGGTGCTACCCTCTACAACCTCTTCTGGCTAAAGTTCTGTTATCTAGGGAAGCTGGAAAGGCCACAGTGGGTCCTTGTGGAAAGACAAGAACATGGAGTAGGAGGAGGTGTATGGAGGGGGGCAGATCATAAACCATTCCAACCAGTTTCTCTAAGAGAGCAGGGGCTGTGAACCTTGGGAAAATATATTCCCAGCTCCTACCATCTTTGGGGGGGCACAGAAACCTTTGTTATGTCCCACAAATACCATGTGAGGTCTATAGTCATTAACCTCACCGTGTAGCCAGGAAGCGGCAACCCCAGAGCGCGAGTGGTGTGCCCAAGGCCACACCATTGGTAAGTGGTGTGGCCAGGATCACACCCCATGTGTCTGACTCATGGATGAGGAGAATGTGGTTCACACACAGCCTGGGGGAGTCAGAGGCAGGAGTGGCCATCTCCTTGTGCCTTGGTGCTTGGGGACACGAGCCAAGAGTGACTGTTAAGGCTCCCAGAGCTGGGCCATGGGCCAGGGGCCTCCTATGTGAGTCAGCGGCCTGGGAGATGGGGACACTTGGAGGGAAGGCTATAGGAGGGGCAGGGAGCTGGCTGCAGGCCCAGCCAAGGCGTGTGAAGCCAGTTTTTGAGATGAGGAGGCCCAGTGAATAGAAGAGGTTCCTGACCCAGATCGCTTCAGACTGCCATGTGCATAAACCACCTTGGATTTTGCTTAAAGCCAGATTCTGTCATAAGAGGTCCTGGTGGGAGTCAAGACTGCATCTGTGATAGGTGATGTCCATCAAGTCAGCCTCAAGCAAGGTCCTAGAGGACAGAAGTCCAGTATTTGCAGCAGATAAGATGAACTGAGAAGCCAAATGGGTGAGCTGCCTGTGCTATTGCCCCTACACTCACTGGATCTGGGGAGCATCGCAGGTCAGAGGCAAATGGAGGTCCTGAGACGAGGAGCGCTGGGGCAGGGAGGAGGAGGCGGGAGGCACAGCCAGGCTGCTGGAAGTTCGCGCTGGCTTTAGTGTAGCTTTCCACCTCTTCAACTGGGAGTAAAGAGGTGGGGACGGGGGCCCCCCTAGAGTGGAGGGCCTTCAGCAGAGCCACACAGGATACATAGGTACCCGCTCCACAGTAGGCTGCTTTGCTGGAAGATAGGCCAAAAAGATGAGGCTTGTCTTCCAAGGCTCACAGAGATCACCGGAAGGATCAAGCAGCTACAAGGGGAAGTTACAGTAAAAAGCAGGCCATGGGAGACTACAGCTCAGAGGACGATCCCGGGTCGGGGACACCTCCTGATGTTAGCCATTCTAACTGTCTCCGTACACCACGCAAGGAAGACCTGGTGTGTGTGTGTGTGTGTGTGTGTGTGTGTGTGTATGTGTGTGTGTATGTGTGTGGTGTGTGTGTGTGTGTGTGTGTGTGTGTGTGTGTGTAGCAGTGGTGTGCTGGGGCATATGTGGCCTTCAAGAATGAGAGAGACTGGCACGAGAAAGAGAAATGTCATTCCTGTTGTTTGCCCCTCAGGTAAAAGGCGGGCTTTCCTGGGCTATCAGCAACAAAGGCTTTGCGGGTGGGGAACCAAAAGTGTGTAGAACCTGACAGGAAGCTTTTCGGCAGCAGAGGAAAAAGCAAGAGACTTTTTCCATAAGGCTGAAAGTCCCTTCCAGGAAAGACAAGGGGATAAAACACCCAAAGGAGAATATTCTGGGAATGTTAAAAACTGAAGTTTAGAAATTGGGGTACTAGCAGTAGGAAAGGGAAGGGAACAAAAATTGGGGGTAGGGGTCGGGGGTCAGAGCAAGACCTGGAAGCCAGTCAGCTCTGGCTATGGAGAAAGCCCTAACTATCTGGCTCGGTGTGGACTCTGAGGTAGCAGGTCTTTCAGAACCAAGTCCAGGCCCAAGGCAGAAGGTGTTTCCTGAGGCTTGAAGGGAGCTGAGACTCTCTGGTATGTGAGGTGGGGTTGCTGGCTTGGGAAGGAGGCACCTGAGAAAGGAAGCCAGGGAGGCATCCAAGGACGAACACCTGAGAAACTTTGTTGCCTTGTTGACTCCAGAAGGAGGGGAGTGAAGGGACACTGCTGAGGATGTTCAGCAGAGTGAGGACAGGGAGAGGGAGTAGAGAGAGAGAGAGAGAGAGGAAAGAGAGAGAGGGAGGAGGGAGGGAGAGTGAAAGAAGGAGGGAGGGGGAGGGAGGGAGAGAGAAGAGAGAGAGACAGAGAGAGAGACAGAGAGAGAGAGAGACAGACAGACAGACAGAGAGAGAGAGAGAGAGAGAGAGAGAGAGAGAGAGAGAAGGAAAGGAGGGAAAAGCGGAGGACACATTTGGCAGAAGTTGTTCTATAAGTACTCTATCCCCCAACCACCTTGCAACCCAAATCCTAGGAACCCAAGCAATGTCTCTTTCTGGTGAGAAGACTAAAAACATTGAGGTTTAAGAACAAGCCACATCCTGACCCTAGACTCTGGCAGCCCCCATTTCTACTGCCTGGCTGCTGTCCGTCTATAGGACAGGGAGTGGAGCAGCAGCAGAGGGAACATCGCCATGGATGAGAAGTGATGTGCACACAGCACTTCTTTCCCGATGAGCTGGGACAGAAAGATTAGATGGATTTCTACCTGAAGGAAGGAACTGAGACGTGGGAGTGACGTGGGACAGCAGGAACAAGCCAGAGAGCAGGAACAAACCAGAGAGTCCTGCTAGCAAAAGAATAGAGCCATGAGTAGGGCTGGGACTGCAGAGGTCCGAGGCCCAGAGCCAGTGTGGGAGAAGGAGGAGGAAGAGATGGGAGAAGGGATCTGAGTGAGGAAGCCTCCAGGCTTGGCAGGCAGGAGGCACAGCAGACCAGCTGCAGACTACAACGTTCTGAACAGCCAACTTGAAATGTTGCGCTCACAGAAAGGGGGCAGATGTTGAACTCTAGAAACCAACTCTCCAGAGGACTGAAGGGCACTGAGCTTGAGATTAGAAAGTTCTGGATCTGGGATTTGGAGGGTTTAGTATTTGCATACGGTAGTGGCAAGCAGAAAGGGCCAAAGGATAATGCAGGCCAGGAGTCGGGAAATGAAACTAGAAAAGAAGTCTATTAGAAGGATCAGGAACATCCCCAGGATCTGCCAATCACACTCTGTTTGCTGGAGGGTCGTGGGCTCACCAGGCATCATATTTTGTACATTTTCCTAAGTAATGGAATGCTGTCCCTGCTATCGAGTAGGCCATTTGAAACGTTTCTCTAACCAGTGTGTCTGCATCCCTTAACCATCTCAGTCTCTTACAATCATTATACTCTCAACTTCTGAGAGGTTACCTCTGAAAAATTCATTGCCCTGTATCCATCATACTTGATACTGTGTTGCAAAATGACATTCCACACAGGTATGTGTTATATACTGAGTACGGTCCCACCAGTCCCACGCCTCTCTCCTAACTTCGGTTAGTTTCCCTTGTGACAGTATTTGTTTCTACTTTCAATGCATACACACTGCACAATTGAGTGCATCTACATAAAATGTAGCAACTGCATAGAGAAAACATGCAATGTCTGTCTTTTCAAAACTGGCTTAATTCTTTTAAAAGTTCAACTTTTTAAGATCCTACAGGTCTTCAGTAGGGATTCTGTTGCTCTGATGAAACAGCATGACCAAAAACCACAGGGCAAAGTTTCAGCTTCCAGTTACAGCGCTTAGGAAAGTCCATCACTGAGTGAAGAAGGGAGGAACTCAAACAGGGCAGGAACCTGGAGGCAGGCGTTGATGCAGAAACCATGAAAGGGTGATGCTTACTGGCTTGTTCCTCATGGCTTTCTCAGCCTCCTATCTCTTAGCATCCAGGACCACCTGCCACACATACAGAGATGCGCACCCCCCATGTCACTCATCAGTCAAGAAAGTGCACCGCAGGTCAGTCTAGCGGGGGAATTTTCTCAATTGAAGCTCCCTCTTCCAAGACGACTATGGTTGTGTCAACTTGACAAAAACCTAGAGAGCATGTGAACTGTGAGTAAAAATGCAAGATGCTTGCCTTTCTGTGTTACATTTTTTCACGTAATATCCTCCATGTTCAACTAATTTTGATAATGATGAAGGCCCCCTTTCTATGCTGGACAGCACTCCATGCTTGTACTCCCTGTGATGTTCTTATTGTCTCTTCTTTGCTGGGTGCATAGGCTGGTTCGTACCTTGGCTTTTGTGAATAGTAGTGCTGTAAGTTAATCCTTTGGTATTTTGATTTCATCTCTTTGGTGCATATACACAGACATAGGCTTTCTTGGTCACAGAGTGGTTCTAGCTTTTAGTGGTTTTGAGAGTAAAATAGAAAGCAATTCTGCTAAGAGACGGCGCAAAACATGGGTGCCATTTCTCAACATATCTGTCTTAGAGATGGAAGTCCTAGCTGAGGTGGTTGAGGACTCCAAATTGTCCCTGTTTGTTGGGGATCTGCTCTTACATAGAGAACACCCCAAAGATGCTGCCATAAAACTGTTAGAACTAGTAAATAATTTTGCTAAAGTTAAAAACTGCAAAATCAACATACAGGATCCAGAAACATATCTGCACACTTCACTATCTGAAAAAATAGGAAAAAAAACATTTACATCTACCAAAACCATTATCCAGGAAGAAATTTAACTAAAGAGAGAGAAAATCCCTGCAGTAGAAAAAGTAAAACATTGACGAGAGATGCTGAAGAAAACATGGATAAGTGGAAAATAATTTGTGCTCATGTATTGAAAGAATGGATATGGTCGGAGTGCACATGCCTCTCAAAGTGCACAGATTCAGTGATCTCTGCTAAATCAGCAAAACCAGAAAAAATCCTAAAAATCTGTACATAACAGTAAATATCTCAAATAATCAAATCGATCTTGAACATAAAGATGGAGACATTGTACAATCTCACTTCAAAATACACCACCAAACAATAGTGTCCATAACAGCATAGTACTGACATAAAAAGCAGTCAAGCAGACTGATGTCACAGAGAAGGAACAGGAATTAAAGCTAGCATCACAGCTGTCTGGTTTTTGACAACGGTGCCACGAACACACTTAGGGGAGCAACTTTTCAGGAGATGGAGCTAGAGAAACTGGGTAGCTATGTGCAGCTGAAACTGCATTCTGTCTTTCAGTATAGGTTGCAAACCATCAGCTAAAAGAAAATTAAAGTCTTGGAAAGAAGATCTGGAACTATGAAAATACTAGAAGAAAACACAGGAGCAATGGGCCATGACATTGAACTGGACAAGAAGCTTTTGGATCTGACCTTAAAAAAACACTGGTTACAAAAGCAAAAACACACAAATAGGATTTGGTCCAACTAACTAGTTTCTTCCCCAGTAAAGGCAGCAAACAGCAGAATGCAGAGGAAACACGCCCAAAGAGATTCTTCGTTAGCTGTTGTCTTGGCTTCTGTTTTGTCGCTGTGAGGAGACACCATGATCAAAGCTACTTTTAACAGAAAGTATTTAATTAATTGGTGGCTTGCTTACAGTTTCAGAGGGTTGCTCCTTGATCATTGTGATGGGAAGCATGCTGGCAGGCAGGCAGGCATGGTGCTGGAGAAGTCGTTGAGAGCTCACATCTGATCTACATGTTGCAGGTGAGTGGTGGGGCGGGCGAGGAGAATGGGCCTGGTGTGGTCCTTTGAAACCACCAATGCTGCACCTCCTCCAAGGCCACACCTATTAATCCTTCCTAAATAGTCCACCAACTGGGAACCAGACAGTCAAGTATCTAACCTTATGGGGGTCATTCAAACCACCGTATCCCTACACTGCAGAGGGTTGCTATTCTAAGTAAAAGAGGAACTCAAGTCACTTACAACATAAGGGCAAATAGCCCAATTTTTAAAAGCAGATGTGACAGTTTGAATAAAAATGGTTCCCATAGGTTCATAAGGAGTGGCCTTGTTGGGAGGTGTGGCTTTGTTGAAGGAAATGTGTCACTTGGGGGGTGGGGTGGGTTTCAAGGTTGCAAATGCTCAAGGCAGACCCAGTGTCTCTCTCTCTCTCTCTCTCTCTCTCTCTCTCTCTCTCTCTCTCTCTCTTTCTCTCTCTCTTCTGCTGCCTGCTGATCCAGAGGTAGAACTCTCAGATACCTCTCCAGTATCAAGTCTGCTTATGTTTGACCATGCTTCTTCCCACTATGACAACAATAGACTAAACCTCTGAACTGTAAGCCAGTTCCAGTTAAATGTTTTCCCTTATAAGAGTTGCCATGGTCATAGTGTCTCTTCATAGCAATAAAACCCTAACTAAGTCAGTGAGCAAAGGACTAAGTAGCCATTTCTCAGAAGAAGATGTACAAATGGCCAACAGAAGTGTGAAAAAGTGTTCAAAGTTATTAATAACCAGGAAAACACAAATCAAAACCACAGCCAGGTGCCAGCGCACCTCAGTTACTATGGTCGTTAGGAAGAGACAAACGTGTAAGTGAGGGCATGAAGAAAATGAACCTTTATTTGTGGATGGCGAGAGTAAATCCAGACAGTCATTATGGAAAAATTGTATGGAGTTCCACAAAAAGTCACATGCAAATGTTTATAGCAGTATGCATCATCTCTGTGGAAGGTAGAAATACCCCAGATGCCTACCAACTGACTAATAGATAAGGAATGGTACACCTATATAGTAGAATATTATTCAGCCTTGAAAAGTTACGTGCTGATACACTCTGTATCATGAGTGATCCCTGAACACAGTTTGCCGGTGCAGGAAGCCATTCACAAAAGGGCGACGCATTATAGATTGCATTTAGATGAGGTATCCATGACAAGAGACTCCATAGAGACAGAAAGTGGGTGAGTGCTATCCAACAGTCAAAGAATTGTCCATTCTAAATGGGTGCATTGCACGGAACCTCAATAACGTTGTCACTTAGGAAAAAAAAGATACTAACAAAAATTTAGAACACTGATAAACAATTGTAAAAAAAAAATCCATTTAAATCCTCAAATTATCCCCCCGAATAAGTTCTGAAGGAACTAAAATGTGAGTTTCTTCAAAATACAAATCATTTTTAAGAAAGAATCTAGTGGTTTCAAGTCTTGTGGTACAAGGGACTGAGAGCAGACTGTGGCACTGAGGGTACAGGTGGGAGCCAGGGAATGCCACCCCCACCTCTGACTGACCTCCCTTACAAAAGCCCACTGTGGCATGCTCTTAGGGCCTCCTGATACTCCATTATCATGGAGGAACAGAGTCTAGGATTGATGCAAGCTTATAAAGGTCGGCTCCAGGGACATTCTTGGAGGAGTTCAGGAAGAAGGGATGGATGCGTGTTCATCTGCCCTGGGCTAGAGTGTTTGGCCAGTGTTTGGAGGTGATTATCTTGGGATGAATCTCCTAAGTAAGTATACAGAGGAGGCTTGTCTGTGTGTGCAGAGGGCCTATCTGAACAGACTATGGGAGAAGGTGACAGAGCCCCCAAAGGGGCCAAGATTTTCCTCAAAAGAGCAATTTAAGGTGGATCTACACCCCTGCAGTTTCAGCACTAGGAGGTAGAGGCAGGAGGATTAAGAATTCAAGATTATTCTGGGGTAGATGTGACCCAAGCACAAATATAAAATAAAAAGCAGATCCGAATCTAATTCGTTCTACAAACAGTCCATTCTGTAGTGCGCAAACCCCTGACAAAGCCCTAGCACATGACACCAGGTTCTTCTTCACCAGCCCAGCCCCAGCACTAACATAAAGCATGTTCCGCAGTTCAACACTGAGGGGACCCAGTCACAGCTCTGAGCTGTCACCTCCATCAGCCTGACAAGTCCCGCAGATCTTTTAGGGAGTTTCTCTTGGGCCAAAGTCTTGAGACTGATAGACAAAATTATTTTAGGCCTTGCCACCTTGAAGCAGAGTTGCAGAGTTTTATTAGACAGAGACTTTAGTACAGGCTTCCTTCTGGGGGCCAGGAGAAAGAGAGCGACCCAGAAGAATGTAGGACCTACCTGAGTCTGCTCCTCACAAGGGAAGCAAGGGTGACTGTCTTCCTATTAGCTGTAGGCAAACAGCATTGATGGCTCTCAAACTTCACCTGAAAAGGTGTTGGGAAATCCTTCCTTCTCCCTTCTTTTCTCTCCAGATAATGGAGATTACAGGGTGGCTCCAGAGATGGCGCCGATGGAGTTATGGTCTGATAAGGTAATGCCAGGAGCCACTAGACTTGTATAAGGTATTTAGGACTCTCCCTTCTCCCGGAGTTTTTTTTGTGAAGTTTCTAGAAAATTGCAGGCGTCCAGTCATTAACTGTGCTGGAATGCTGGTGAGACGCTTCGACCAGACTTCATGGAGAAGGGCTCCCTTCCCGGTGATCTTCCCTCTCTTTCTATATCCTGCCTTCCTGGGGTCCTTTAGGATGAAGGTTTTGAACGCCCTCTTTGGTGACTGGATGAGGCACCTCCTCCTCTGGAAATGGTATCCTCACCACAGAAGTAGAGCAGACGCATTTACCAAAAATGGCTGCATTCGTTTGAACTGTGTGGGTCAACAGCTTCTCTCTGGTTTTAATTAGCCAGCCTGGCCTGTCATGTGTTGAGGCCATTTTGGGTTGAATTTGTGAAAACGCTCCAGCCAAGGATAAAAGAATGCCCAGCGTTTAGGCTGCTGGAGCATGTGAGGGAAATCCTAGGTTCTCCCTGTGTGACGAGGTTTTGGGGTGAAAGCATGCTGAAGCTCTCATATGCTCTTAAGCATTTTCATATTAAAGCAAATATTAGTGAGCTTAACCTACTAACTCATGGTGCTCATATTTAGTGTGCAGATTGCTGGACACACAGGTATAACCAGACCCAGATTCCAAAGGCGTTCAGGATTGCTGTTCCCAGCATCCTACCCTCAAGGAGAACAACTGCCTCCCGTGATGATTTGTGTGTTGGGGGATTTCTGTGAGGTGCTCCTGAGATTTGGCCCCGTTTCTCTGAACTGCCTGATTGTACTTGGTTCTCAACCTCTGGCAGTGGCTCTCATCTGGGTGCCCTCAGAATCCCCTGGAGAGTTAGCTGTGAGTTTTGACTCAGGGGGACTGGTCTGGAGTCCCAGAGTATGCATGTCTGAGAAGTCCTCAGGGGGCGGATCTTCCTGGAATATCTCTTTCTGTCTGGAAAAGCAGCCTGTCTTTTTCCCCCCCACTGTGCCTCCATCAGGTGCAGCAGGCGACAGCAAGGCAGGAGAGTAAGGCAGAGGGTGAGGTTTCGGGGATCTTTAAAAATTAGTGTAGGAAACAACAATAAAAAAAAAACAGTTGGTAAAGAGGGAGGCTGGAAGACGTAAACAGCGGCCCACTAAATCCAACCCCTGGCATGGATACAGGGGCATTCTCATGTCTCAAGGTGGCCGGTGGCTCATTATGATATAAAAACGTGCATCCCTGGTGGAGAGTCACCATGCTGTTCTAATTGATCTCCGTTGCTGTGATTCTTAAAGCAACAAGGAGGAAGAAAGGGTTCGTGTGACTCGCAATTCCAGGTCGCCATGGAGGCAGAAACTTAAAGGCTTGCTAGTCTATACTACATGACCTCTGACAAAGGAACTCACTTCACAGTCAATGAAGAACAGCAGGAGCCATGGGTGATGCTGCTTGCTAGCTGGCTTGTCGGCTAATTTTCTTTCCTAGTTCAGGACCACCTGCCTAGGGAATGATGCCACCCATAGTGGGCTGAGCCTGCTACATCAATTAACCATCCAGCTGATCCCCCTAGACATGCTTACAGGCTCATCGGCTCTAGGCAGTTCCTCAGTGGAGTCTCCCTTCCCAGATAAGTCTGCATTGTATCAAGTTGTAAAGCTCACCAGGATAGATGCTGAAGAAATGCGATGTGAGAAGCTACTGTATATAGCACTACACCCAGTAGAACTTGCTCCGAGAAGCTCATTCTATACAGATGAGAGAGAAAAAAAAATGATCTTGTGAAACATGATACTTTCCCCCATCCTTTGTGCATTAGAACCAGTTGTCTAGGTTTGTGCTCCACCAGCTTCATCACTTGTAAGGTATCCTTTTCAAAACAAACCCAAAACTGTATCCGTTTCTGTTGCAACTGTGTTTCTCTGATCATTTTTTATTCAAGGACAGCAAACCTGGAGTCCCACTGAAGGTGACCTCCCAACCCTGCTATTAACCAAGTAGTGTCTCTGGACCAGGAGAAGACTAGACCAGCATCCTGGGGTGACACAGGCCTTTGCACTTGGATTAGGAAAGCTTAACTTCACTGTGCTCTGTGATATGGGGTATGGGGCCTCCTGGCTTACCACTAGTCCCTTCTGGAGCATAAAAACCTATGGTAGAGATTTACTCCGACTTATGGGAGAGGTTTCCAGATCAAGGCCAGAAGGTTCCAGGGTCAGCAAAAATTGACCCTTCCTTCCCCTACCCATGATATTGTCACCAACTTGGAGGACAGTGGCAGCGTGGTCAGAAGACACAAGAACCCTCTGGACAGAAAGCACTGAGACACGGATTCCATAATCTCCCCATCCTAGTGAGGGAAATCAATGCTGGCTGGATGCTAAACTGTCCCTTGAAGTCCCTTGCTTCTCACTCCCCCCTGAGATTGGAGGGTATGACAGGGACCGTCACAGGTTCTCTCTCTGAGATGCTTAGCGA